CAGATTACCTTGAAAGACATTGCTGCCGTATTTCTGATATAGTTTTTTGCAAATTTCTCAGTTTTTAATAACAATTAATTTATTTTACTATTTTTCTGTACTCCTATAACAGCTCCAGACAACACCTCCAGAGGAATGACGCCAATTTTGAAGCACCCTCTATATGTAGTATTTTTAACGGAAAATCAAATAAAAGCTTTCAAACTTATTAAATATTTATGTTACATTCGTGACAATTTTGTTGTCATTTTTTTGTTGTCACCCGGTATGTAGGAATTTGCCATTGGCACCGTTGTTGATCCGTACTATTATAATCGTTTCACTGCATGTTGTAAGCGCACAAATCCGCCTCCAGGCTCGATCTAATTCCCTACTAAGCTAATTGTTGCTCATTGTAAAGTAATAACAATTGACACGCTGTTATAAGCATTTCCAGCAATCCATTGGATCATATCTGAATTTCAATTCAGTCATCAGCTGGAAAGAATTCCAACAGTCAGACGATAAATCTACTTGTCTATATATATTTTTAGAATTGAATCAAAGGATTTCTGTTGCAGGTCTGATTCTACTTTCCGGAGCTATTCGTTTCCGTAAATACAGATTTTGACGTAAAAATGTAAACAGTCGACATTCGATTTTTAACTTTTTAATAAAATATATACAGATGGCAGTTGGTAGATCAGATCTGTAAACTCGACATTTTCAAGCTATGATCAAAAGAAAAAGTTGACTTAAATCGAGAATAAAATGCAACAAGAAGCGCAACTAATGACGACATTTTTTTATTAAAGATTCATTTCAGTTGGTATTAGGCAAAGCTTCTTCCTGCAACAAGCTCTCCTTTGACAAAAGCTGCACCATTAATAACCCGACAATAGCATCTGTATATTTTCCATTTTCATTTTGAATTTATGTGGAAACTGAATCTCGCTTATGTTCTTGAGAATATAATGTGTGTCTATTTCAGATTCACTTTTCAACATGACTACGTTAAACTACCTATGTGGATCCGTAATTTTCAATTAGCACATTAGTATAATCTCCTTTATATTTGGCTTTGGTGGTAGATGAACTGGCTTGCGGCTACGTTGTTTGGTTTTATTGACCGCAACCTGAAACATCTCTTTGCTATTGGAAACATCAAGGCCGATTAAGACAATAACGCTATTCAGTTTCACAGACCAATAATTAAAGCAAACATGCATTCGGCCTGAAATTTGCATTATCCGTTGATTAATTCACGTTTGGAACCAATTTTACCTTCCATTTAGGAGAACTGAGTCTGGCAAACGGAAACTCAAATCGGTCATTAGATTCCGCAACTTTTACTGGATTACGTGATGTTCGGCTAGAATTATGACTTCTCTTTTGTTAAGAAACAGCTAAAATGTCTGAACGGCATAGCGTGCTTCCTTAACGCGGAATAAATTTTATTGGGACAACTGGAGAATATGCATATTTTTAGCAAAATTGAGATTCTTTCGGCCCCGAATTTAGTAGTCTTGTTTCTAATACTCGCACATCTTTCGAATGTGTTTCAATTGTACATGTTACTTTTGCTGACCATTGAAAGTTGCGAAAATTGTTTAGAGAGGAAAAATTTTCAGGCAGACGCACAATTATGTTGTGATAATTCCAAAAATATTTCAAATTGCATTTCACGTCAAACTGTATTTTCACAAAGTTTTATCATGATTCCTTATAACCATGGGCGTTCCATATACCATCAAAGAAGTAGAAGTTTTCTTGGTTGAATCGAATTCTTCTTCTTAGTCGTTTGCTCGGTTTCGAGCATCATGAGTTCATGTTTTGGTTTCTGTGATGGTTTTCCATTCCTGTATATCTTCTGCCATATTGAATGTTTGGTTGAGGTTTTTGACGGTTAGAGCGGTTATAAGATCCATGTATCTTGTGGGCAACCTCCCATGTTGATCTTTTTCCAGGGACTGTCCCTTCTATTGAGTGAGTCTCTTAAGACCATTTCTTCTAACCACATGACCAAATAATTTATCTAAGTCCAGCATTATGATCCATATAGAATGACTGAACACCAATCTCCTGACTAATATCATTTTGCGGTTAAGCCACTACCAAAACTGCCAATATGACCGTTGTTGCTCTATTTGCTTCAGAGAAATGACCAAAAACGGGAAGAAAAACATGAAATTTTAGCATAATCTTGCACCTAAGTGTCTGATATTGAAATTTCGCTTTTTGGGTCAAAACTCCCCAGATTTCCTCACACATGTTGTTATGACTGAACCGAATTTTCAATTCTCTATCCAACGATACCAATGTCATGTCATAACCAACCATGTCATCATGGTTATCGTGGGGTC